CGCAAAGCCGACTCATGGCACAACTGACAACAGTTCAAATGCAACCTGGAGAAAAGGCCATGCCTTACATCAGTCGCTGTCAAGGACTACGCGACAGACTCATTCGCTGCGAAGGAAACTTATCTGAAGAAGCTTTCGTAACCGTCGTTCTTGCCGGCCTTGGACCTCAGTGGCGCACCACCCGCTCACTTCTTCGCGCTCACGGTCGACTCTCCGAAATGCATCTCTACGCCGAACTTCACGCCGAGCAGCAGGAAATGGACCTGTTTGAAGAACGCAACAACAAAAGGCATCATCAACCAGTCGTTCTTTACACCAATCGACGACAGCCACGCTACCAAAATCGAGGACACGTACCTCCTTATTGTCATCTTTGTCGGACTTCAGGACACACACGCTTCAACTGCCCTCAGCAACAACGACAACCAGCACCATTCTCTCGTCCTCTACGACCAGTGCCTCCCCACATCGCGTCAACTCAACAACAACCCGCTACCGCCTCAACGACTACTTCAACCCGACCGTCAACTTCCACTTCGGGACCTGCACAGGCACCAAGAATCGTCGCCATGGCACGAACAACACAGTCAAACATCGACTCGTGCATTACCGGCTCTCCACCGACTTACAGTCCTGATGAGCAACCGTCACCACCACCGTCGTCCCTTAACGTGAATCCAACGTACGCCGCCATCGCGAACCGTGCACCCACCGGGCCAGACACATGGTTCCTCGACAGTTGTTGCGGTCATCACATGTGCTCTTCATCACGATTTCTTCAGCGCGAACGACGTCTTCCGCGAGACGTCATCATCACCATCGCCAACAACGAAAACCTGCGCACCAACAAACAAGGAGTCGTGGAGCTTCAGTCAAACGAAACAAACGTTATTCTTCAATTAAACAAAGTACTCGTCGTCGACAACCTCGGCTTTAACTTACTGAGCGTCAGCCAACTCATGTCGAAAGGCGTTCACCTGGAGTGCGACTCCGACGCCCTGGAAATCCGTCTTTACCACGGAAAAGGGGGGGTCTTCATCGGCCGTGCAATCCAACAAGATGACGTGTTCGTCCTCGACTTCGTCCCCGACAAAGGCACCGCAGACAGCGACGGCATAGTCGCTCTCGCACCTTGGACGCATCCGCCAGACCTCGACCCGAACTTCAGTCCTGAAGGCTTCTGGTACTCTCGTACCATTCCCGAAGCTGAACGCACCAACGCGCTTGCCGTCCTGCAAACACAAGCCACAACACCTGAGTCAGCACCCGTCATCGAAACAACATTTGCACCCGTCACAACACCAACAACCACCGAACCTGCAATTGAAGAACCAACCGTCGTCGCGGAACAACCCTCCGAAACTCCACAGCTCGGTCCCTCCGTCGCACCTCCACCTCTCATCATCGACACGTCACCGACAGCCGCCCAACAGTTAAGGCCAGCACCACGCGCCGTTCATCGAAGTGCAGCAACACACGCCGCCTTCTTCGCTAACGCAGACTTCTATCGACGCTCCGTAGGTCACAGCGCCTCCAAAGACATCTGGCATCAACGTCTTGGACATCCTGGAAACACAACACTCTACAATACAATACGAGCCGGAGTGTTAGACAAGAACGCCCTACTTCTTCCCAACGGACGTGAACTCGAACGACCACGCGGCACCTGCTTCATCTGCCCGGAAGCAGATCTGCCTCACTAACCGTTCCCGTCACACCACAATCCGAGCGCCCCCGCTTATCAACCACTCGAGAAAGTCTACAGCGACATACTATACATACCTCGAACTGAAGGACGTGAAGATCCGAACTACGTCATCACCTTCATCGACGCCGCAACGCGATATGTCTGGCACGTCAACTTACCGTCACGAGACATGGCTCTAGAAGGCTTCACAGCCTGGCTACCTGTCGCTGAAAGAGAGTCAGGAGCGAAACTGAAGAGTTTTCAGTCAGATGGCGCAAAGGAGTACCAGTCAAACAGCTTCACACAGTTCTTGGCAGAAAGAGGCATGAAACGCCTCATCTCTCTTCCTTACGCTCACCAACAGCAGGGTGTGGCAGAAAGGATGAACAGGACCCTGCAGACAACCATGCGAAAGCTGCTACGTGGAACTCGACTGCCCAACTCAGAATGGCCAGCAGCGATGGACCATGCTGTCCTCCTGCACAACTTGTTGTCCTCGTCTTCACTGCCCAACAACGCATCTCCGCACCTGTTGTGGACTGGGAAGCTGGGCAACACAAAAATGTTACGAGTTTTTGGGTGTATGGTACAGTACCGCCCACACACTGCACGCGCAGGGAGATTCTCGCAACGTGCACAGTGGGGTCTACACCTCGGGCTGGCAAAACATTACGAAGCATGGCGAATCTTCGACGTCCACACAAAAGAAACAGTAGCAGCACGTGACGTTATCTTCTACGAGCGACTCACCCTCAACCATTACCTGGACAACATCGCACGCCACGTCGACCCCACCGGCGGATTTTCTGGTTCCCAACCTTCGCTTCACCCTCCGATGCTGCTGACTGGGAAGAAGAGAACGTCGACGGCGCCTCCGAAGCTGCTAGACCCCTTCCTTACTGCTCCGTCCCAATCCCCATGGACGAGGAAAACCCTCGCGACAGTAACAATGCCGACGCCTACTACCATTTCGCCGACAATGGTTACGTAACACCCCAACCCGTCAACACCGACATCTCTGAACAATACGGCCCCGGATTCGCACCTGATCCTGAAGCGGGAGACGAAGCAGTCTATCCCGAGGACCCCTTGCTGAATCGTCACACCCCCAGCGGACTCCAAGTCCTGGGACTCGTCGCTGCAGTGCACGGGCCTTCGTCGCCACCTGAAGAGCCTCGCTCTGTCAAGCAGGCTCTGGGGGGGGAACACAAAGAAAAATGGCGCGAAGCCATGGAAAAGGAGTTAAAAGCGCTCTCAGACCGCAACACCTGGAAGATCGTCCATGCATCACTCGCACAAGACAAACCCATTCTCTCCGGAAAATGGGTATTCCGGATCAAAACCAACTCCGACGGAACCATCGAACGGTTTAAAGCTCGATGGGTCGTCCGCGGATTCGACCAAGAGTATGGTCGCGATTTCACTGAAACCTTCGCACCAGTCAGTCGACATACTTCCCTGCGCATACTCCTCGCCATCACCGCCTCACGCCGCCGCCCACTCCGACAAATCGATGTCGCCAACGCCTTTCTATACGCCCCGGTCGACGCTGAAATCTTCGTCGAACAGCCCCACGGGTTCGTCGACGACCCTTCCCTCGTCTGCCAACTACTTAAATCACTATATGGAATTAAGCAGGCACCGCGACTCTGGCAGTAGTACCTGCACGCACGACTCAAACGCATCGGATTCAACCAATTGCCCCATGACCAGGGCATGTATCGTCTCACTCGCGACAACGACTACGTTCTGCTAATCGTCTACGTCGACGATTTGCTTTACATCGGGTCAACTACCACCATCGTCACCTGGTTCGAAAAGGAGCTTCAGACAGATCTCTCCCTCACAGTCTCACCCAACGTCACGCAGTATCTAGGGCTCAACATCCTCGACGAAGACAACACTATTCGTCTCAGCGCCTCAAAATACGCAAGCACTATCGCCGAACGCTTTTGCATCACACCGACGCACGTCGCAACACCCTACAGTCACCTATCGCTCGATCCAACCGAAGAAACCAACCCACTGCCGCCTGCTGAAATCCAGGAATATCAACAGAAACTGGGCTGCCTACTCTTTGCCGCCGTTACGTGCCGACCGGACTTATCCTACAGCGCCAGTCAACTAGCGACCTACCTCAAGCGCCCAGAACAACGTCACCTCAAGGAACTCAACCGCGCCCTTCTCTACTTCATCTCGACGCCAACAGTTGGCTTAACATATCACAAGAACACGACGACCGACCTAAAACTACTCGGCTACGTCGACGCTGATCATGCTGCTGATCGTGTCGATCGTCGCTCTCGCACCGGCTACATCTACCGTCTTGAGCCTGTCGGAACTATCTCCTGGCAATCAAGTAAGCAGGAACTCGTCGCACTATCATCTGCTGAAGCAGAGTATGTTGCTCTCTGCACTGCTACCAAGGAAGGCCTGTACCTGCGCGAACTGCTGGAAGAAGCGAAAATTGCGAAAGTACCCAGCTTCTCGCTTTTCTGCGACAACCAGTCCGCGATACGGATCGCGAACAAGAATGGCTTCGCCAACAGAACCAAGCATATCGCACTGCGATACTTCTTCGTGAAAGACGAAATTGAGAAAGGAAAACTCCAGCTGGATTACTGCCCGACCACCGAGATGGCAGCAGATAATCTCACCAAGAAGCTACCAAAGGGGAAATTCGAGTACTGCATGCTGCTCACCGGATTGGACCACGTCACCGAAGCTGACCACGTCGACACTCCAGAAACGAAGGGGAGTGTTGGAAAAATAAACGCATGACTTAGTGCGTTTCTGTAGTATCGAACTTTACCCGATACTGAAGTACAACAAAAGGAGTACGAAGTCGAAAAGGCGCGTACCACATCAAACCGCAACTGGAGGTTGCGAGCTGTAACCGCCTGGAGGTTACGTAACAGCAAGTGACGCTTCAGTGAACAGTAACCACCTCGATAGTCAAAGCGTTATGCGTCTCGATAAACATAACCGCTTCTTGTAATCTATCCTTTCTATATATTCCTGTATGCCCTTTGCTTTAATCAATTACTTGTTCTCACATACCAGCACAAGTACATTCACTCAAGACTTCCGCTGTGCTACTCTAGCACCTACTAGCCTATTCTCTGCAAAGATCCTAAGGCTGAAATTCTCAGCCCAACAGGCTATGGGGGTGTGTCAAATGTTATAGCCTTTAGTGGGTCATGCCATATGGGGTACAAACAGTTAGGGTTAGGTACTTGTACTCCAACACAATCAATGCAACTCATTCCGCTGTAGCCACTTTATGAGAAACTCAACACCACATGCTTGCTCTTCAAACTGCACTTTCCTGTGGGGCCAAGAGGAAGAGCGCCTCACAGAGCGCCAGCAGGTCCGCTGGCCTCAGCTCCACAGGCCTCTCTATTCCCTTGGAGTAATCTCGCCCCACCACTCTCTCCACCATTGCCCTCGGCACCCCTGCACCTTGAATCCCTTGACCGCGTTGACCCTGTTGACCCCCTTCACCCCCTTCCACCTCCTCCATCCCTTCCACTCCATGGAGTGCGCCCACCATTCCGCCCACAATAGCTGCATTTGTATCCGTGTCTCCCTCTCGCACCAGTGTGTCCTCAAGCGCCTCGTCATAGCTGGACCTGCGGAGTAGGTGGTAGAAGGCGAGAAGGAAGCCCCACTTGACCCACCCTATGAACTTTGTGCACTCCACCTGCAGCGCACACCCCTTGCCACCAGTCTGCTTGCTGGTATCAATGCCTTGTGTGTCCGTCACGCCTGCCTGCCGCCCTTCTCCTCCATGCTCCACCCCTCTCTCCTCTCCCTGCTCTCCCCTCTTTCCCGCCTCTCCTGCCTTTCCCCTCCCACATGTCCCGAGTGCGCCCATCACCTGCTGCAGCGCCTGCTTTCCCCACCCACCCACAGACCCCCTGCCTGCCTGCCTGCCCTGGACACCCCTCCCTGCGCTCCCTCTGCCTGCTGCTGCACCAGCCCCACTCGCTGCCCCGCTCCGCTCCCCACCCCCCTCTGCTGCCACTGCCACTCGCACGTGCTCCAGCCACTCACCCACCGTCTCAGCCCCTCCCTTTTTCCCTCCGCCCCCCACCCACATCGCACCTCCCCTTTTCCTTTCCCTTGCAGCCCACATCGCAGCCTCCTCAAACGCGCCCTGCGCGTCACCAGGGTGGTTGATGAGGTGCGCGATGGCTATACAGTAAGCAGCGGAGGCGGCGCGGCACGTGGGGTTAGTGTGCGAGAGCGACGCGTCCAGAGCAGCGCACTGCGCCACGGCGTGCGGGGGCAGGCGGTGCGCCCACACCGCCAGCGGCGTCACTCTCATCAGCGCGCCGTTCGCCTGGCTGTTCATGCAAGTTGCGGCGTTTGTCTGCATCTGCTTCGCCATCTGCTGCTCGAGTTTCTCCGTCTTCGCTTGTTCCGCTGAGGAGTACGGGGAGAAGGGGGAAGAGACAAAGCCGCCGGCGGGGGGAGGCGGGTGGGGGAAGCGGAACGCGGTGGTGCACGTGTTGCCCATGTCAAACGGCCTGGAGAACCCCCAAAAGTGGTACGCGCGCGCCACGCGCCCCAGCGGGAACCCGCCCTCCCAATACCCCCCGCCCGCTGCTCCCGCTGAGCCGCTGCCGCTTCCAGGCTCCGCCGCCGCAGGTTCGGCGCCGCGCGACGCGCAACCACCCGTGCTGAGAGGCGCGTCCGCCGGCGGGGGAGAATCACTACTACTGGTATTAGTACTCGCGCCGCTAGTAGCAGCAGGCGGCGCGCGCGCGGCGACGAGGGCGCGCGCGAGGCAGAGCGCAAGCTCGCTGTCGTCCGTGATCTGCCCGGGACCCACGCGGAAGACGCCGCCGCCCGGCATGGTGATGGCGCGGCGCGCTGCCTCTGCGGTGACGACGCCTCCGAACTCTAAGACCGCCCCGGCCGCGTCGCCGGCGAACGCGCCGACGATGGCGCCGGTGGCGCGGGAAAGGGACCGAGAGCGGGCGGGTGAGAGCGAGAGAGAAGGGGAGGGGGAGGGGGAGGGGGAGGGGGAGGGGGAGGGGGAGGGGGAGGGGGAGGGGGAGGGGGAGGGGGAGGGGGAGGGGGAGGGGGAGGGGGAGGGGGAGGGGGAGGGGGAGGGGGAGGGGGAGGGGGAGGGGGAGGGGGAGGGGGAGGGGGAAGGGGCGGGGGAGGGGACCATGGTGGTGCGAAGTGCGAGAGTTGACAGCGGTGCGAGGGCGAGAGTCGTGAGATGAGCGGTATCAGCGGCGGTAAAAGACGCGTTGCGATCTATTTCTGACACCAGGGAATGTGTCAAGTAACGCTTTTGTAGACAACTTCCCTAGTCGACTCGTGAGTCGTAGTGACTCGTGATTCGCGAAAGTTGAGTCGTGAGTCGCGACGTGTGGCGGATGACCTCCTCGAACACCTTGAGTACAGCGTGGACTGGCGGAAAAAGAGACGTTCTGAACACGGCGCGCTAGAGCTGGTTTGGAGTTGCTGCCAGGATTCGTGAGTCAACGAGTCAACGAGTACAGCGTGGACTGGCGGAAAAAGAGACGTTCTGAACACGGCGCGCTAGAGCTGGTTTGGAGTTGCTGCCAGGATTCGTGAGTCAACGAGTCAACGAGTCAACAAGCTCGTGAGTCAACGAGTTCATGTTAGGGCGTACTCCTGATGCCTGTTTGAGCCCCTCCCGGTTGCCTTGTGAAGGGGGCATATAAGCTGTATCGTGCGTTTCGCATAAGTTCGTCAATTTCGCAGCTAGCTAAAAAGAATTCGCATGTGCTTATAAACAAGACCCTGCTACCTAGTTACCTAGTTTGACTTCAGTCTCTTCTGCTTGACTTCGGTCTCTTCTGCTTGACGCGCTTGTAATGTGGGTGCATGAAGCTGGGGAAACAACCTCGGGTGCAGCGTGTCCATCCGGCGCAAGGCAAATTCGCGCGCATGGGGTGAGCATCAGCTGTATCCCCGGTTCCGTTCACTTGTACTGTTTGGGGCGTCCGCGAATTGAGCATGCCCCAAACAACATAGAACACCACTTTGGGGTCAACATCATTGTGCGACCCTCAGTAAGGCGGGGGGGTGTCCCCGCCAAAATTTCACGGCCCCACGATTGTCGCATCCAATTGGGTCGTGCCATCACATCACACACGTACTCAACCACCGGCCGAGGCGACAATCACCCCACCCACCTCTCCGTCAAAATTCCCGGCGGGAAAAGTCACATTCAGATCTGCGCGGCTCCCCAACCCACCAGAACCACCCTCATCTGCTGCAAATTTCCCTCTGATGGTTTAGTCATCAGCGTCCTCACAAAGAAGAACATCAGCGAGATCTAAAACACAGTGGGTCCTCCCACTAGGTAGCACTCACACCCTAGCACACCGGCACCGCCGAGCCATGCCTCCACGACGAAGCGCCCGCAGCAAGGGAAAGGAGAAAACCCTCGACGATGAGCCGATGATTGATCCATCGTACGTAGCATGGATGAAGGAACAGAAAAAGCAGGGGAAGCCGTCCCCTTCCATCAAGCGATTAGCAAAGGCTAAACGCGACTCTGCTGGCGCCTCCACTAGCGGCGGTTCGCGGCGCGAATACGATCATGGCGCCGACACGGACGCTAGCGACGACGATCTCGAGGAGATCATGTCCGAATCCGACAGCGACGCAGACTCTGACAACTACAAGGAGTGCAGTGACGACGACGCCGAAGAAACGGACGGAGGCGAGGAGGGTAGCGGCGACGACGGCAGCAACCGTGCGCCGAGGAAGGAGAGGCGCGCGCCTGCAGCGCCAAACAGGCGGCAGTGGTCTGACGCTGAGCTCACGGCACTCGCGGCCGCCCGTTGGAAAACCAAGGATGATCTGATCGCGATGCAAGGCAAGCAGGGGAGTCAGTATTGGAAGAAGCTGCGTGCGCACATAGTCGAGGGGGACCCTGACTGGAACCGCGATGAGGGGCAGATGTCGAACGCCTGGAAGCGCCTGGAGAAGAAGTACCTGAAAACGAAACTTGGAGAGGGGCAGAGCGGCGGGAAAGCCATCAAGGAAAAGGCGTGGTGGGAATACATGTACAACCTTAAAAAACATTCGGCCAAGGCCAAGCCACATGCCCTTGACGGAGGTGGCGCCGCTAACGTCGACGTCCCTGCATACGCCGCTGTGCCAGGCACCAACGATCGTGACACCAACAGCCCATCATCCCTGGGACTCCAACGTGGTTCTCGGCGTCGTGCTCCAAAACCAGGTTAGTGCTTGTTCAAGCATCTCACACCCTTGTATCAAGCACCTATGCTATTCCTGTATGGCTTTCAAAGCGCATGTATTCATATTGAATAAAATAACACACATAACATCACGGCCGCCTTATTACCATCTATGCCTACGCCCACCCCTACAGACACTGGTGTCACAACGCCGACCAAACGAAGAAGAGTAGAAGAAACAGCGACTATGGCGGCAGCCAGGCTGGTGAGCGAAGCCATAAACGCTACCAACGCGCACGTGGTGCGCCAGCTGCAGGACTCCACTCAGTTGCTTGTCGCGGCTATGAACATGGCCACGACTCAAGCTGGCGTGCGGCTGCAAATGGCCAGTCCGGTGGTACAGCATGTGGCGCCCGAGCCCACGGCGCCTCCAGCACCGCTAGATGTGACTTTGGACGCCAACATGTCGGGGTCTGAGGAGGCAGCTCAGCAGCATGAGCATTAGCGCGCCGAGCTCGACGCACGGTGACGCCTGAGGTAAGCCCTGTGGATGTGCTTGCCGAAGTGGTGTCGGCGCCGACGCAAATCTGCGAGCGTTGGGTTGTCCAGGGGCTGCCACTGATAGCGATCCATGCCGCTCTTGTTCCACCAGCCGTTCGGGAGCCCCGCCCATACGTAGCGGCGGGGGTTGTGTGTTTTCATCCTTGGAGTACTAACGGTCTGCAGCATGTTGTGCAGGATGATGATGCTGGCCGTTCCTGCACACACGCGCCACAGCTTGCTCTCGTGCCTGCGCGAGAAGAGTCTCCAGCGACCCTTCAGTGCGGTGATCGTGCGCTCAACCACCATCCGTGTCGCCGACTGGACGTAGTTGTATGTCTGCTCCCACTTCTTCATAAGGCGACGGCGTGGTGCGTGCAGGGGAGTGAGCATGTACGACTTCAAAGGGTATGCCGCATCTCCCACAAGCTGGTAGGGGGCGATTTCCCCACTCTCTAGCCTGCCATGTAGGTACGATGTGGAGAAACAACCTTGATCATGCATAGAGCCCGGATTGCCTATCGTGTAGTCCCATATCACTCCCTTGGAGTCACAAGTAATCTGGAGTTGAACACTGTAATTTGACTTCCTATTGTAATAGTCCCCTCGGTGACCTTCCATGCCGCGTATATCAACATGGGTCCCATCAATCGCCCCGATTACGTTGGGCACACCTTTGATGGCCTTGAAGTCTAGCGCCATCTCTTCGCGCAGCTCGACAGGAGGGAATTGCACCCAATCACGCTTGAACTTGCGCGGGAACCAGATCAGGAAGGCATCCACGAGGCGGTGGATGAGAGTGCTTGGGAGCCCAAACATGAGAGCCATGTCGTGGTAGGTCATGGCGGTTGCAAAATACTTTATGGGGATTACACAGCATAAACACAGGGGGACTTCGTTCACTTCCACAAAGCGAGACATTGGGTGTGCCATTTTGTCGGCGATGAGGTCAAGTACTTCCCGAGTGATGCGGAAAGTGTCTTCGAACTCCTCGTCGAACATGGCGCGTATCTCCTCCACCCAATAGGCGACCCGTTCATGACGGCGCCGTTTCCGACGTTCGAGGCGGGCGGTTGCTCGGCGCACGCGCTCCTGGTCCTCTGCCTGCGACATTGGTAGGATTGTAGTAATCCACTCTATAGCAGCTAAAGACACTACATGCTGCCAGGTGTTGAGAAGGTATTCATGCCATAGATGTAAGGCCACACAGAGTATGATCACGGGTGCGGTGATCATGGTTTATGGCCACCTGCTAGGTGACGAGTGAGCTGCTCGCATCCGAATAAGATCGTGGGACACGAGCATTACGGGGCCGCGTCTATGCTGAGACCGTATTTGCGGAGGTGGCACTTTGCCGTGGAGCCGCCTGTGCTTGTATACGGCCTATTAGGTTTGTTGCGGCGTGCTACCTGGGGTCGACTCGTGAAACACATCACCCTCTAGTCAAAAGTTGGTTTTATGGTGGGATGCCAACTTCAGTGGTGTAGGTGAGACATTGACGGGCGTGAGTACACTGAACACGTCCGTCTACCAAATGTCACACAAATTGGGGTCACACGACACTGTGATTGGTGGGGGTTACATGTTGGGTGACGGTCGCATAAAGTTTCAGGGATGACCCGAACATCGAATCGCGCGCGCCTCCGCCAAATACTTTGGGTCATCCGCGCATTGCGGATGACCCAAACAGTTGAATGAACAGTGCAAGTGAACGGAACCAGGGATACGCCCTTAGGGCGTATTCGTAGCTTTGTGTCATCCGAGCTTCGTGTCATCCAAGATTATGGGATCCAATCGAAAAATCCAAAGCTCGAAACGCGGGTTTTCCAATTGGCTAGCTAGTGCTATGCTGGAAACGAGGCTCGGGCTAGTCCCGAAGCGTAGGCCGATACGACCAGGCCAGCAGAGCGAGGTTTGGTGAAACAGTGCGCGCGAAGTCGGCGAAGCCCCGTTAGCAGTAACGGGCGAACAACGGCTGCTGCTGTACCCGATGTTGCAGGGCGCGCTCAGGAATGTCGAGAAAATTCCTTACACTACCCCCCCCCCCCCCTCCCCCCTCCCCTCAAGAAGCCCCCTCCGCTACGCGAGTGCGTGTATATCGCGGAAACCCCGGCTCCTCAGGTACACTTGCAGGGCAGGGTGGTTTTCGATGTTGGCCAAGGGCACCCGTTGGCGTGTGGTCCTTCCAGCGAACGAGGAATTCAATCCTCCTGATTCCCGTGGGGTGTCGAATCCGATGGCTCATGATTTTTTCGGGTTCGATGATCGGTTCCGATGCAGGGCGAGTCATGGATGGCGGGCGGCGACGAGGCAGTTGGCTTCTGGTTGGGATGTATGGGCGAAGCAGGCTGACGTGGAACGAAAGGCTGATGTACCAGTCCGTCGGCAACAGTAAGTGGGCTGTCTTTGGGGTGATCATGTGGCTGATTTGGAATGGTCAAAAGTAGCGGGGTCGTACTTTTGGTACGACGGGCAGTCTTAAGTTCTGTGTATCGAGCAGTACGTAGTCTCCTGACTGGTACGTGACTGGTCGGCGGTGGCGGTCAGTGTTGCGCTTAGCGATGACATTGGCTTTTTTAATTGCTTCTACGGCTCTGGTGCGGGAAGCTTGCAGAATTTCGGCGAATTGCTGTGCACGTGGTGTTGGGTTGTCCGGACTCAGCGTCATGGGCACTGTAGGATTTTGCCCGTACTTCAGGTAGAATGGGGACTGCCGTGTCGTCGCTGACGTGGCGTTGTTATACGCGAACTCGATCAGCGGCAGCTGCTGCTCCTAAGTGGTCGGGTCGTCGCACGTGGCACGAATCAACTGCTCCATCGTCTGATTCGTCCACTCCGTTTGACCGTCGGTCTCGGGGTGGTACGACAAGCTGAACTGTAGCCTTGTCCCGAACTACTCCCAGAGGTTTTTCCAGAAGTTGCTGGTGAACTTTGTGTCCCGGTCGCTGATTATCGCAGCTGGTATCCCATGTAGTCAAACGACGCCTGCGATGAACAGGCGAGCGGTTTCTTCGGCTGAGATCGATTTCTTGCACGCAGCGAAGTGTGCCATCTTCGTCAACCTGTCAACGATGACCATAACCGCGTCGTTACCCCCAGGGTTCGAAGGTAACCCCGTGACGAAATCCAAGGTAACCTGTTGCCAGGCGCGCTGAGGCGGTGGAATCGGCTGCAACTGACCCGCCTTTGTTTTTCGCGAGCTCTTCATCACCTCACACGTAGGACACGAGCCCATGTGGTGTTGTACGTCGGTCAACAGCTCTAGCCAATAGTAATACCGCTGCAGTTGCTGTCGCGTTTTTTTCTACCCCGAAATGTCCCGATGTAATCCCGTCGTGTGCCTCCTGTAGTAACAGTTCTCTCAGTAGTGAGTACGCGTGTACCCAGATGCGGTTGGTGCCTGTTTTTACGTAATAGACTCCTTTGGCCTCTGCCAGTTGGTGTGAATTTCCGATCGTGAAAAATGGGTCGGTATTGTATCCGTGGGTGAATAGGCCTGTTAACAGTGGGTTGGTTTGGGTGAATAGGATGGCGTGGAGCTGGGCGGTGGGGCGTGTGACTGCGTCGGCGATGTTGGATGCGCCCTTTTTGTACGTGACCGTGTAGTGGAAGTTGGAATCCAGATAGTCCAACCAGCGGATCTGTCGTGGGTTAAGATTCGGTTGGGCGTGAAGGTACTGTAGTGATCGGTGGTCTGTCCGTACTGTCACGTCTGCTCTCGTGAGGTAACATCGCCACACCTTGAACGCGTGCACGATCGCTAGCATCTCGTGGTCGTGTATCGGGTAGTTGCGTTCGGGCGGGTGAAGCTTGCGAGACTCGTACGCGATTGGCTGAAGGCCGTTCCCGAAGTCCTGCAACCGTACTGCTCCCACAGCGATGTCGCTAGCGTCGGTGACGAGCTCGAACGGGCGGTGCGGATCTGCGATGTGAAGCATGGATGGCGAGCATAAAATATTTTTGAGGGCCGAGAAGGCAGCTTGCTCTTTCTCCCCCCACGTGTACTCGACCCCCTTCCTTAGCAGGTCAATCAACGGGGCAGTCAACTTCCCCATGTCGGGAACGAACCGGCGCACGTAGTTGACGAACCCCAGAAAACTATGCAACTCAGTCAAGTTGGTCGGCGCGTGCCACAATTGAATCCTCCCGATCTTCTTCGGGTCTATTTCCACTCCTGCGGCTGAAATGATGTGCCCAAAAAATTACAGTCGGTCCTGTAAAAACTCACACTTGGACGCATATGTCAGTAGGCGGTTCTCACTCAGCTGAGAAGAATAGAACGAGAATGAATGAACTATGAACGAAGTGAGTACAAATAGGAAACCCTAATTGGGTTGTACCCCCTATGGGATACCCCACTATAGCCTACACAAGTAAGTAAGCTATAATGTTCTGACACACCCCCATAGGCAAAGTGGGGGAGAACAAGGGGTCACAAGACCAGTCAAGCAAAGCAAGGGAAAGCTCAAGGTGGACCACAAAGTCACCACACATTCCGAGCACAAGTTCAAAGGCCAGTAGGCCAGTTCACATGCAAGATCACATATATAGGTATACAAAAGGCTAAGCAAGCAAGAGCAAGAGTATATATATGTGACAGTACAAGCAAGGTCAAGAAGTAAGCAAGTGAGGCAAGACAGGCACAAGGCCCAACTGAGTGTAGAAGCGCTGATGATCACAAGGCGCAAGTGCCTTGGTGAAGACATCAGCAGTGTTGGCCTCAGAGGCCACGTACGCAAGCCGCAACTGTCCACGCTGCTGCAGCTCACGCGCAAGAAAGTAGCGGAGAGCAATGTGCTTTGTCCTGTGCTCGAGTCGCTGCTCTCGACACAAGGCCAGCATGGCCTTGTTGTCTACGTACAAGACTGGAGGAGAACGAGGCGGCTCTCCAAGGTCGGTCAGCAGGTAGGTGTGCCAGCGAAGCTCCTATGCAGCCATAGCCCCGGCGTAGATCTCAGCCTCACA